CCACCGCCCCGCCCCTCTCCGGCCCCACCCCTCACCGCCCACCCCGCAGGTGCACGCCTTGGCAGCCATACCCTGGAGCCCTGAGCGGATGGAGAGGATCTACGAAGAGGCCACGCGGCGCCGGGCGCAGCTGGAGGCGCTGACCGCCCCGTTCGGCTTCCAGGGCGCGCGGAGCCTAGTGTTCGGGGTTCAGGGTGTGGCGCAGCAGGTGCGGCGGGAGGTGGGAAGCAGTTGGGAGGGGAGGGCCGGGTGGCAGATGGACCAAAGGGGCCTGCCCAGGATCGGGACTGGACGCGGGGGGCGGGGGGGGAGAGGGTCCAAGGCCACCCCAAGTCCGCACGCTGTTGTCCCGGCGACCTCATGGTTCAGGGGCTAAGGATCGCGGTTCGACGCCAGGCTGGAGACTCCAGTGAGCCACCAGAAAGTCTGAAGTGGCGCCGCGGCCCAGGTGGTGGAGGGCCTGCGCAGAGCAAGCTCTGGGACAGCGCCCAGGGCCTGGGTTCGAGTCCTGGGATGAGCGCGCACGTTTGTGTGTGCACATGCAACTAAAGCACAGTGCGGGATGCCGGGCTCCAGCTGCCCTCCCCCCTCTCCCCAGGCTGGGAAGGGGAGGGGCAGGGGCGCAGATGCCCAGGCTTAGGGCTCACCTTCCACCTCCTCCCACAGCTCATGGCCGACGCAGTGGCCACCTTCTTGCAGCTGGCTGACCAGTGTCTGACCTCGGCTCTGGAGCCTGACCAGGCTTTAGGGCAGCTGGAGAGAGTCAGGAGCCTTGTGCTGAAGGTGAGGCGGGGTGGGGGAAATGGGCTGGGCCCTCATGCCCGTGGGGCAGGGCCCTCACGTCCATGGTGCCTGTGTTGTGCAGAAGCTCTCCTGGGACAGCGAGCAGGCACGGTGGAGGTGCTCCCGGGACTGGCTCCTGGCCATCCTCCTGCCCTTCGCGCTGGGCCAGCTGGGCCAGGCCCAGGCCGTGAGTAAGGGGCACTGGGAAGCAGAGAGAAGTGGGGTCCAGGCAGTCAGTAGGCCTCTCCTTGACACTGGAGGGCAGGAAGCAGTTTGGGGGCTCTTGCCTCACTTGTGGGAGGCCCTGGATTCATTCTTAGCACTGCAAAAACCATGGGAGAAAAAGACGGAGACAGCAGGGAGCCTGTCTTGGGAAGGGCATTCTGAGCAATGGGCATAGTATGTGCAAAGGCACTGAGACAGTCAGGGCTTCCAAACTGGAGAAGAGGTAGGAGGTTGGGGGGGGCACAGGGTTCAGGGTCCCAGGCAAGGCCTCCTCAGATCTAATGATGTGGTCCAGTGAGTAGCCCTGGTGGGACCCCAGCAGACACCCGCTGAAAGGAGGCCTGGTGTGTGGGCGCCTCAGTCTGTGTGGTGAGTGTGTGAGGCTGTGTGACAAAGGACGTGGGTGTCCTCCCTGTCCAGGGGCTGGGAAGCCTGAGGACAGAACTCAGCACCTGCAGGATTTGTTGTTGGCACACATCCCTCATGACGCTTCCTCCAGCCCATGAATCCCCTCGGCTCACAGTCCATTCTACAGAGGAGAAAACAGGCCAGGGTCCCCAGATCCTCAGGGGAGCGCTGACCCCCTTGTGGGCTGCAGGAGTCCCACTCTGCCCCCCCCACCCCCATGTGTACAGGAGCTGCTGGAGGCGCAGGCTGTGGCCACGGAGGGGGACGCAGCCACCGGAGTCTATGAGGATGTGGTCCGGGAGGTCTTGCTGCAGAAGATCCATGATGGTGGGCCCACCTGCCTGCACACTGTCCTCTGCCCAGCTTTCCTGAGACCTCTCTGAAGGCCAGAGCAGTGGGGGAAAGCTGCAAAGGTCATGTCCTGTAGTCTGAAACCCAGGCCTGGCCTCCTGCATGGCCCTGCTACAGCTACTGCTGGGCTCTCTAGCTGCCTGGTGTGGCCGGCAGCTCCCAGCTTGGGGACAGACGGCCCCTTGGGGCTGGACATGGCCAGTCAGAACTGCCAGCTCCCCAGAGCCGGGAGCAAGGGCCAGACTGCCCTTGTCTGGGGTGACTTCTCTCGGAACAGCTGGTGTGTTTGGTTTTCATGCCTTTATTTGTAAGTTTAATTTGTGCTGGTACCAGAGCTGTTTGAACTGAGGGCTTCCTGCCTGCTTGGCTGGTGCTCTACCACTTGAGCCTTACCCTCAGCCTGACTTTTTATTTTGTCGGTCATGGGACTTGAACTTAGGTCCCGGCACTGTCCCCAAGCTTTTTCACTCAAGTCTAGCACTCTAGCACTTCGGGCCACACTGCTCTTCCAGCTTTTAGGTGGTTAACTGAAGATGCGACTCCATGGACTTTCTTGCCCGTCAGACCTCAGCCTCCTGAGTAGCTAGGATTACCAGCATGGGGGCCACTGTCCTGGAATCCGGATTTGAATCTGGGACTTGTGTTCGCTGAGCAGGTGCTCTGCTGCTTGCCCCACACCTCCAGCTCTGGCTGATGTTTTAGGTAGAAAAAAGAAAAGCTGTTTTCTGCTTGCCAAGCTAAATCTAGACAGGAGCCCTGGAGCATGATCCCTAAGGGAACCCATGGTCTTCAGTTGATGTGTGATATCTGTGGGGAGCTGGAGATGGCGGCTCCCAGATGGGTGGATCTTGTGGGGATTGACTAGCAATGTCTGCCACAGGCACAGCTGCGACCGAGGCTCCTGTGAGCTGGTGTCTGGGTCCTTGGATGCATCAGGTTTGTCTCCCCTTTCAGAATTGAGAAAGGCGCTCAGTGCCAGCACCTCCTGTCCTCTGACAGACTGTGCAGAGGCCCCAGGGGCCCAGGAGCAAGCAGGTAAGGCCCTGGGACTTGGCAGTGACTTGCTGGGGCTGGAGAGGCCCACGGGGTGTGGACCCCTCATCTCCCAAGTTGGCCAAGTGGGTGCAGAACGGGACAGGAGCCAACAGCAAGGGCCCAGGAGCCCGGGCACCCAGGACACGCATGCGCGCTCGGGCCGTGGAGCCCGGGCTCCCAGGACACGCATGCGCGCTCGG